ATTCTCAAATCGCATAGTCGATATCAAATTATAGTGACCTGTTTTATATGACCCAATATGTTCTTAATCATTTTGTAACGGGTTTCGATAACCCCCCCCTGGTATGGATATAATAGGCAAAAAACCAAAAAATCCCATTTTTGGGATTTTTTAAAACTTTTTTGGGAATTCCGGGATTTCTAATAAGAAAATTTTTATTTAATTATGGATTTTAAGTAAAAAAATCTACCTAACTGTAAAACTTCATCAAAAAATATTCATAATAAAATTTTTATGCAATTTTGAAAAAATTGTATCTTCGCAAAAACTGAATAAAAAACATTTTTAATTTTTTTTAAAAAAAGTATTCCGCGAATTTTTTAAGTGACAAATTAATTAGGGAAATCTCAACATCTTTTAGAAAATTTACATAGCACTATTATTTTCATCCATAAGGTTAACTCTTAAATTTGTTACATATATGGATGAAAATAATAGTGCTAGGTAAATTTTCTAAAAGATGTTTAGTTTTTCCTAATTAATTTGTCACTTAAAAAACATTAGGTAGGCATGTTATATATCAATGGAAAAGTAATTTTGTCTATTTTCAAAACTGTATATAATTTTTGAAAATTAAAAAATTCGCGGAATACTTTAAAAAAAAAAAAAAATTAAAAATGTTTTTTATTCAGTTTTTGCGAAGATACAAATTTTTCAAATTGCAATAAAAATTTTATTTATGAATATTTTTTGATGAAATTTACAGTTAGGTAGATTTTTTTACTTAAAATCCAAAATTAAATAAAAATTTAGAATTTTCTTATTAGAAATCCCGGAATTCCCAAAAAAGTTTTAAAAAATCCCAAAATGGGATTTTTTGGTTTTTTTGCCTATTATATCCATACCAGGGGCGGGGTTATCGAAACCCGTTACAAAATGATTGAATTTTCCATAAAAAATAGGGTTTTTTTTGGATGGACCTGGTTAGGTTTTGTTTCATTTATCGTACTTTATGTAAAGTCAGCTTTCCAAAAAGTATAAATTCTATATACATCTTCTTAGAAACTTTTTAGATAACTTAAAAAGAAAAAGATACTTTTTTTTCCAAAAAAAATTACAAAATCGCCTTTTTTATTTTTTAAATTAAAATGCCTATTACTTTGGACTCAGTCATGATTTTTACATAATTCTTTCACTGCTTGATATATAAACTTGTTGTTAGCGAATAACAAAAATGGCGAAAATCGGGAATATTTGGACCCGCTACTATCAAAAAAACTAAAGTAAGGACGGTAAAAATTTTAAAATTTTAAGTTTCAAATGCGAATATCTCCTAAACTATAAGAGATAATTTACTGCTACGACAACATTTTTTATAGTGCTCGATGAGGAGATTCTATATACGAAATTTTTTTTAAATCGGAACTCAAATGAAGAAATAGGATCGTTTTAAAAATTTAACATAGCCGAGGTGTCCTAATTTGAGGACCCTCCGCCGGGCCCCTGGTTGGCCTATAAGGTCCAAATTCAAAACCTAAACTCGACAACACCTCCTCTTTGTGCATACCAAATTTCATTAAAATCGGATTAACCGCTTAGAAGTTACCGAATTATTTCCCTCTTTTTGTTTTCCTATACCACTGTGCAACCTCGAAAAAAATAAGCATTTTTTACACATTCTGATGTAATTTTCTCGAAAACTATGCAAGATAATTTCATGAAAGTCATCATACATTCGTTTCTACACAAGATATTCATTCTTGCTGAAAATTGCCAGTATCAGTCCATAATTTCATATACCTCCCATACAAAAGTACATATTCCCGGAAATGAGTTTTTTGTTAATAACTTCCGTCAGAATGTTGATATCTTCACAAATTTTACAAATCAAAATCTTATGTTAATAGAATTCATTGAGAGAAAAAATTTTTCTGGGTCGGTCCATAATTGGTCATAGCTCCCATATAAGGTCCCCTCCCGATCACTTAAACACACATAACTCATTACTAAATTAAGATATCCATATAAAATTTGGTACAAGTATTTCTCATATGCACAGAAATATTACTGTGAAATTTTTTTCCGATCGGTCCATAAATGGTCATAGCTCCCATACAAGGTCCCCTCCCGAAAATCACTTAAACACACATAACTCATTACTGAATTAAAATATCCATATAAAGTTTGTCACATGTTTTGCTCTCACATATACAAATATTACTACGAAATTTTTTTCCGATCGGTCCATAATTGGTCATAGCTCCGTACAAGGTCCAATCCCGAAAATCATTAAACAGACATAACTCATTACTAAATTAAAATATCCATATGAAGTTTGGTACAAGTATTGCTCTTACATATAGAAATATTACTATGGAATTTTTTTCCGATCGGTCCATAATTGGCTATTGATACAAAATTTGGCACAAATATTAGTTTTGTTTAAAAAATTCTATTTCAAGATTTTTTCACGATCGGTTCATAACATAGGTTCCCTTCAGAAAATCACTTGAACACACATTACTTATTACTAAATTACGATATAGATACAAAATTTGACTGAAATATAGCTTTTATGTACAGAAATTTAGCTTAAAGAATTTTTTACGATCGGTCTATAATTGGTCATATCTCCCATACTAGGTCCTGCCCCCAAAAAGCAATTTAACCGTATTTAACTAGTTGCATTATCAATTTATGTAGAACAAAATTATATATGTATTTGGAAATCCTTAAATCTTTCACACACATGCATACATGCACATTATTAAATATATATAAAGCATATATTAGGGCGCTATAAAAATATAAAAGAAAATGGGGTTTGTAATGTTCAATAAATCTTGGAATTGTAACAGATTTAAGCTGTTTAAATCTTGGGGTTTTTCTATTTAAGACATGAGAAAACTTATTTATTTTATTTGATCAATTAGAAAAGTATTAATATAAAAGTAGCTGGTGGAGGGTATTTAAGATTCAGCCGAATATAGCATTCTAACTTGTTTTAATATGAGAAATGCCACGACCACTAAACCCAGTTAGACCATTTTGTCCCTAAATGGATGTCAAAGTTGTAGATACAAAATTTGAGGACTCTATCTGCCGCAGTTTCTGAAATGAACGACTTTTAACAGTTACTTTGTATGAGAACAAATTGCCATTGCCTACTTGAAATATCAAAATAAAAAGGAGCCTATAGTTTCTTCCAGATACACAGAAGGATACTGTGAAAATTTCAAGAAAATCGGTCTGGCCGCTTAGGTGCATATAAATTTCAAACAAGCAAATAAACTCAAATTAATTTGTATGTAGATGTATGACGAATACGATCCCTATTTCATTCTTAACTTCAATATAAGTCCCGCTTATGGAAATGACTTTAACGTTTATAACAGTCTTATAAATATCTGGATGGAATACGACATTTTATGATGAACGACCACATTTGATCCTAGCCACCATCTAAAGTCCCCTTTAGAGTCGCTTTCGAATTCTTAAGAGTTCGGCACAATATTGGTCAAGCTTCCATAAAAGGAAAGCGCACAGATTATTGTGGCTGCAGCAGACGCCGGGAAAGCTTATACTATGAACCTGAATATTTCCGAGAAGTTTATTAATTAACACAGGCCAACAAAATTTAAATGCAGTAAATAAAAATCCAGAGATTTTCTAAGGTCTGAACCTGAATCTGTCCTCAGAATTTCTTCATCACATCATCATCATTATTGTGGCAGCAGCAGTTGACTCCACGGAATTTTATACTGTGTGTCCTGAACACTTCCGAGATATTTATTGAATAATACAGGCCAACAAAATTTGAAAGAAGTAAAAATCCAGAAATCAAAGCATACTTTTGTAAGGGTTGAACCCGAATCTTGCCTCAGGATTTCTCTATCACTTTAGGTTAAGATATCTTGAAAGACAATAAGATATAACAAAGATAAAACCTTTATATTAAAGTCGCAGATTGTACTTTTAGATGACAAAACAGATTTTATAAATAAATTTGTCTTGGCGCTATTAGAATTTCTCAAATATGGTTAAAAACGTAGTTATGGCCCATCGGCAGTATAATTTTTACTTTTATAAAAAGATACTTATGTAAATATTTAACAAAATTATGATCTCCTATGCCATATTCAGGGGATCCCGTTGTAAGGGCGCAGTGTGAAATAATGGACCGAATTCAATCAAATTCAATATGTATTATGGCATAATCGAATCAGAAAATGATTATAATTTGTAGTAATAATTTTCGGAAATTACAAAAATATTCCTGGAAATTCTTGGGATTAGTTTCACACCAAGAAACTCTAGTTCATATGAAATTGTGAATATTTATTTATAATAAAAACCACGGTAAAAATATCATGATAAAAACTATTCAATGGCGCTGAAAAACTGGCGGTATATATTGCCATAAGTACAACCCAATTTTATCAATGATCATAAAAACGATCACAAAAACGTCACAACATGTAACAACGTTGTGACGGAAGTTATGTAATACTAATCTGACCAACTGATTATTTCTGCACGTTTATTAAACACTGGCTTTTGCTTAAAAAGAACGTCTGCCAACAAATCTCTGATCAAAACTAGAAAAATGTCTGAAGCTCCCACACAATATGAAAAAAAAATCAATTAAGTAAAAAATCAACTTAAAATAATATTCAATTGAACACTTCTCCAGGTGAAATGTGCCAATGAATGTAAATGTTATAATCAATCATGCAGTTTCTAATAATATCTATTGAAGAGGGGTTGTGCAACGAGCATTTATACTGATCTCTTAATTTGCAATTGGCAACATGACAATAATGTATCTCAAACAATCGTACGTGTTAAATGACTAAACTTCCGTTCTTAATTGTTGATCTACAATACGCCGCTATATTTTCGCATTTTTTCGTTGATGAACTTTTAATAGAAGAAAAAAACACAGCAAAATAATGCAAACAGCCAAACGTATTCGTTATAAAAAGTCTGTATTGGCCATAAGCTTAACTTAGAATAGTGCGGCTGACGTCTTGTTAACAACTCTGTACAACAACTACTACAACCGTCACCTCAATTACCGTGACCACGACCACTACCACCTTTTAGTTTATTGTCATACTCTATTAACTTAATTGGTAACTAATTAAATAATTGCAAGTTCATTAAATTTTAAAAATTTCATGCAGTTTTTGGAACGTGCAAAATGCAATTGAAGGTGAGTTTTAGTTTGATAACATCTTGAAGAGGAATGTAAGAGATTTAATTATGTTTTTGTGTACTTTAAACAGATTACTGCGCATTTAATATTCTTCACTTGCTTGGTATCATCTCTGAGAGGTAAAGCATTGCATCCCAAAGGATGTTACGAGTGCGAAGAAGAAGTATGGGAAGAAGTTCCTTGTGCTGATATACCATCGAATAGTACAACTGTATCGACTCCCTATTACTCTACAACACCTATTTACAAACCAACCACACCAAGTCCAAAACCTCCTACGACCAAACCAACTACGGTCAAACCCACAACTAAAAAATATACAACGACCACACGTGCGCCACCCACTTATGCACCTTATCCCACTACAGTAAGTCCAGAATATACCACACCCAAAGATCCATACAAAAATGTTACTGTGAGTGTAAACTTGGTTGCAAGGAATTCTGTCGAAAAGTCGTTATCAATTCTCCTGACAAACAAATCGTTCAGGTATCAAAAATATCAGAACCAGTGGAAAAGGGTCGCATTGAGTCTACACACTTTCTACAGCGAGAACTTATACCTAAAGCAGATCATAGTTATGATAAACCCGATGATTATGCACCATCTTATGATGACGATGATGATGATCAAGATAACAAGTATGATGAACCAACACCTCCATCTATACCTTTGCCCACCATACCGAATTATGAAGAAGACCTTGATCCAGCTGTTTATGCAGCTTATCATAGTAAGCCCAATGTTCCTGCTATCGAATACTATTCGAAACCAATAGCTCATCCTATTGCACCCATATATCATGGTCCATATGCAACAGCTGAAGCGGGTGTAAATAACTTTCATTCTTATGCCTCATATCCACCCAAGCCTTCACATGCTTCGTACTATAGTCCTCCAAGTGCTGGCAGTTATAATTTCCCCATTCCCTTGGAAAACGTTTTTTCCAAGGTTACAAAAACTCTACTTGATCCTGTAGAAAGAGTACAAATCTCACTAGACGCCTCCGGTAGGAAAATTGCAGGTAATACTTATTCCAAGTGTCCCAGCTATTCAACACCCTCGTATTCATCACCAACGCCAGCGAAGGATTCCCAACTAGAAACTAGAAACGATCTCGATTTCGATGATTCATTCGATTCACTTATTAAGGAGTTCTTAAGAAGTAATCCTTCAGATGAAGCGTCATATCAAGCATTTCCCAACAAACCTTTCTACTCAGTGTCGTACAGTAGATAATAAATTGTTATATTATCTTCGTTAGTTTAATAAATTAATATTTAGTTTTAAGTTTATGACGAAGGAGCAGATGCTATGCATTGTTCAGTTATGATAAGATTTGTTATTAAAGTTTTTTATATACCTCTATACTTTGTTTTCGGCAATTTTTCTGGTAATAATGGGTTAAGGGTAAAAATATCGTATAATTTCGTATAATTTATATTTGGAGGCCTACCTGCTTAGCACAATTAAGGACAGAACAACCACCAGTCGAGTGCTTAACGAGAACACCAGCCTTGACATCCTTATTTCACGGAGGACTTTTTCAACTACTATATGAACTTGGGACGGTTCACCACGCTCCCCTGAGCAGCTTCTTGCCAAGTGATCACGTTGCGGAAAGAAGGTAGCAAGCTTCCCCGACAGGCTGAAAAGTACAAGACGAATCGAAAGAGAGGGGTCAACGAAGACCCCAAAATCGCACCCATTGAATCTATAATCTTGGGATCAACATCGAGATAGATCAATATATGCACAGCCATGAGCGACGCCGTGGCGTCCCCATCCTCTAACGATCCACACAGGTAGTATTAACAACCATTAGTCGTGCAACCACATCACGAGGCTCTGTTACTTCGGCAACAGCTCCTAGGAACAAACTGGCAGAACGAATCACAGATTTTATCACCAAACCGTTCAAAAACCATCAATCATACATCACCCATCTTCTCCAACAATTCCGACACTCCCATCTCTTCCGACATTTCCGTCTCTTCCGACACTTCCATCTCTTCCGACACTTTCATCTCTTCCATCAGATACATCATATCCAAGAGTCAACACAACATTTTAATGATCAATCATTGCATTATCAGCTCATTCCCAACATTTTATTCCACAGACTATCTTGTGGTTTGTACCGCTCTTAACGACGATAACAGAAACTTATCTTGAAAATATATTACTTCAGCGTGAATCAGACCAATCTAACTGTACCTTCCCGCGAATTTGGCTATAAACCACAGCCACTACGTGGATCCCGAAGGAACCTCAACCAACTGACCAGACAGGACAAAGTCCTGCGGACAACAGTCTAACCGTAGTACCAGATTATTTGGATCTCTGGTTAGACCCCATCTCAAATCATTCCAAGGAAATGCTGAGGATACATTTGGTCATCACCAGTTTATAGTCCCGGCAGACTAGAGATATTGGTAGCACCTCCTTTCCCCGGGATATTACAATAACACCAAGGTGGAGATTTCACCATGACCCCGGGGGGAGAATATAGATGCAGTCGGATATAATTATGATTACAAACTTGATAGCACAGGAGAAAAACACACAATCGAACTCTCTGATGGGAAAATTGGCATAATTAAAAGTAGAATGTAATAACCTTAACATATCTATTATCGGTATCAGTGAAATGAGAAGGAATGGTAGCAGCAATTTTACGACCTCTCAAGGTAACCGAATCATATATTATGATCACGCAACAGATAAGATGAGAGAGGGCACTGCGACCCTGTTTGAAACTAAAATGGCGAACTGTTTCTCGGATTATGAGTAGATTACGATCATGCTATAGGCGACTTATATTTCCCACGTAAAACGCACCACAAGTTAGCAAAGGAAATCAAATATACAAAGTCAAAAATTTATTTAAATTTATAATGATAGTTTGCTGACACTGCAACGTTGGACACTATAAATTTTGTGTACTCATAAGAAGATTTAAAATACCTCACAATGACTACTGTATAAGCTGTGTATACCCGAGGGGATGATCTTAATCTATCTGTGTGTGTATGATTATATACACTTCATTCCTTAAATATCAACTAAATAATAAAAGAAAAGGATTACTTACAATTTGTCACACACTGACAATAGTCATAATATGTTATAATTTATGTGACACTGCATTTGTCACGATCAATCGTAAAGTGTATATAGATACTATAGTATGAGATAAAGCCCACGCATAGCTTATTTTTTTTTCTATATTGTGTGTAAATACTTGTACACATACGTAAAATTATTTTAATTTTATTTTAATATTGCAAAATTCCAAATAAATACACCAAATAAAAAAAAAATATTAGAACTGAAATCCATTTCAGTTAACACCCTACTATTTCTATGAACTCTCGGTGGAGATTTTTCGAGCAAAAACCTGTAGTACAAAGTTGGTAGCAACAGCTAATTTCTATATTAAAAAATCTATCCGATATTATAAATGGCTCAGAATATAGATAAATAGACAGACAGACAGACAGAGAGACAGACAGACAGGACAGACAGATAGATAGATAGATAGATAGATAGATAGCTAGATAGCTAGATAGATAGATAGATAGATAGATAAGATAGATAGATAGATAGATAGATAGATAGATAGATAGATAGATAGAATAGATAGATAGATAGATAGATAGATAGATAGATAGATAGATAGATAGATAGATAGATAGATAGCTAGATAGATAGATAGCTCGCTCGCTCGCTCGCTCGCTCGCTCGCTCGCTCGCTCTCTCGCTCGCTCGCTCGCTCGCTCGCTCGCTCTCGCTCGCTCGCTCGCTCGCTGCTCGCTCGCTCGCTCTCGCGCTCGCTCGCTCGCTCGCTCGCTCGCTCGCTCGCTAGCTCGCTCTCTCGCTCGCTCGCTCGCTCGCTCGCTCGCTCGCTCGCTCGCTCGCTCGCTCGCTCGCTCCTCGCTCGCTCGCTCGCTCGCTCGCTCGCTCGCTCGCTCGCTCGCTCGCTCGCTCGCTCGCTCGCTCGCTGCTCGCTCGCTCGCTCGCTCGCTCGCTCGCTCGCTCGCTCGCTCGCTCGCTCGCTCGCTCGCTCGCTCGCTCGCTCGCTCCTCGCTCGCTCGCTCTCGCTCGCTCGCTCGCTCGCTCGCTCGCTCGCTCGCTCGCTCGCTCGCTCGCTCGCTCGCTCGCTCGCTCGCTCGCTCGCTCGCTCGCTCGCTCGCTCGCTCGCTTGCTCGCTCGCTTGCGCTCGCCTCGCTCGCTCGCTCGCTCGCTCGCTCGCTCGCTCGCTCTCTCGCTCGCTCGCTCGCTCGCTCGCTCGCTCGCTCGCTCGCTCCTCGCTCGCTCGCTCGCTCGCTCGCTCGCTCGCTCGCTCGCTCGCTCTCTCGCTCGCTCGCTCGCTTGCTTGCTTGCTTGCTCGCTTGCTCGCTCGCTCGCTCGCTCGCTCTCTCGCTCGCTCTCTCGCTCGCTCCTCGCTCGCTCGCTCGCTCGCTCGCTCGCTCGCTCGCTCGCTCGCTCGCTGCTCGCTCCTCGCTCGCTCGCTCGCTCGCTCGCTCGCTCGCTCTCGCTCGCTCGCTCGCTCGCTCGCTCGCTCGCTCGCTCGCTCGCTCGCTCGCTCGCTCGCTCGCTCGCTCGCTCCTCGCTCGCTCGCTCGCTCGCTCGCTCGCTCGCTCGCTCGCCCTCGCTCGCTCGCTCTCTCTCTCGCTCGCTCGCTCGCTCGCTCGCTCGCTCGCTCTCTCTCTCGCTCGCTGCTCGCTCGCTCGCTCGCTCGCTCTCGCTCTCTCGCTCGCTCGCTCGCTCGCTCGCTCGCTCGCTCGCTCGCGCTCGCTCGCTCGCTCGCTCCTCGCTCGCTCGCTGCTGCTCGCTCGCTCGCTCGCTCGCTCGCTCGCTCGCTCGCTCGCTCGCTCGCTCGCTCGCTCGTCGCTCGCTCGCTCGCTCGCTCGCTCGCTCGCTCGCTCGCTGCTAGGGCCTAGCTCGGGCTACCTATCGGGGTCAGCGGGTGGCGGATAGCTGAACGACCTACAGATATGTAGGCCAGCTGCGATAAATAAGCAGTCCCCGACCATGAGCGGCAAAGTCCGAGGGTGTGCTAAAAAAAGAGGCACAGAAGCCTGACGACGACTTTGTGACATGGCGATTAGATGCCGCCAGTAAGTAGGCATCTCCCACAGGAGGTACCCTCCAGAGAGGTGTAGTTGGAAGCGTGACGTCTTCGTGGTTCCTCCAGTCGAAATTAAACCCAGAAGCGTCTGTCTCAAATTGAGCGGCTCCCTGGTCAGCGTCTGTTTCCCATGTTAGGGTCGGCTGCAATTAAAACTCCTGGCGGTTAGGACAAAAACGCTACGGGTAGGATCCCGGAACAAAAAACAAAAATGGAAAAGCTCAATGAAGGAAATTCACTTACGGTGCAGGGGCTAATGACCCCAGTACCGGCGGCTCAAGGTGGTGCGCGAGCAGGCCACCAGTCGTCGATATCCAACGACTGCAATGTTACTCCGGTAAGCTTGGCTAGGGTAACACAAAATGCTACAAGCAACTCAGCACAGCAATCACCACTTGGAAGAAACTCGGTGACTAAGAAAGCCTCACCCGCGTGCAATACCGTTAAAACAACGAAAACGGGTCAGAAACCAGTGGCAGTATACAACGAAGGAACAAAAACTAGTTCAGTTCCCGAAGGAATGGAGTCGGATCCAAAACCAGAGGCATTAGAGCACGACGCCGATGGTACGAAAACAGGTCCAAAGTCAGTGACAGTAGAGCACAAAGCTCCAACAATAGTCTCCGACTTTGCCAGGCTAGGCGATAAGATCTGGGAACTTGTGTTATTCTTGCGCAAGAAAACAAATATCCACAAAGACGTCGGGGCAATGGCAAACGAGATGCAAGCACTCTATATTCTAGTAAGGGAAGACAAATGTGAAATGTGTCGCCGTGGATGTAAGGGAGCTGCTGATATTAGGTTAACCCAGAAAGAGGAGGGTACAACTCCCAAAAGCATGGAAACCTCTGCAAGGAAACGACCAGCAAAGATGATGAGCCCTAAGGATAACAAACCAAAAAAGAAGAACAAGAGAGAGTTGCCAGCTCGAAAAAATGGTCCAGAAGTGATTCCGGATACACCAGCTGAAAGTGCTGCTCCGGAAGAAACCGAAAATGGCGAGTGGAAAACTGTAAAGAAGAAGAAGATACGTGAGCGTACAACGAGACCTGATGCTCTTATAATTAAATCTTGTACAGAGCAGTCTTACGCACAGATCCTCAAAA